TAGAATGAAAGGCGCATTGGGAATACTTTTAGATGCATTTGGATTATGGAGTATTTTGAAAACCCACCATGTACCACGGTGTGCAGAATTTTATGAGTTGACTACGGTAATTAAAGACAAAGAATTTGAGAGTAATATTTGGAGCAGAGTAATTATTTGTTCAGCCTCAATGTAATATTCATATATATAAAATAGTAAATTATTTTGTAGTATGAATATTGCATGGCTGTGAATTATTTTGTACAATGTACATAATTCTAATATAATATTAATTTCATGTTTATTAGAAAGATTTATAATAGAGCTCTAAAAGGTACAAAGCTACTAAAAGCATTAACTCTGTTGGTGTACAAGAGAGTCAGCAGATTACAGAGTGATGATGAATTGAGGCAAAATACTTACATTTAAGAAACATTATAAAATATTGATGTTTCTTTGAAGCAAGGTATAGCTCGATAAGATGTATCTGGGCTGTTTAAAGTACTTAATATTTCTTGTGGAATTAGCACAATGAAAACATAATATAAGAAACTCAAATTTTACTTTTTTGAATACACCAGTAACATTAGATCTAGTGTATAAGATTTTTATCACTACAAATGACTTTATTATTATTTCCTGGAAAACTTTTCTCTATAACCCTAGTTTAGGTGCTGTTACCTCACCACAAGTTTGCTAACTTGGTTCGTTTCTGCTCTACTGTTGTTCATATTGTTGTTGAAGAGAATTGTTTATCCAGATTGAGAATTGTTCATGTATAGTCTTTCTTGATTTCTTTACATAAATCGAAGTTTTTCACAAGACTTCTTAAAATTAGCTTGCATTTACCTTTAAAATACTCTGAGACAGAAATTATCAAATGAGAACAACGCTCTTGACACACTATTAAGAGAAAAAGAAACATCAAAACTTGGCTGAGACTAGACACAGTGGCTCACGCCTGTAATACCTGCAATTTGGGAGGATGAGGCAGGCAGATCACGAGGTCAGAAGATTAATACCATCCTGGCCAACATGGCAAAACCCCATCTCTATTAAAAATACAAAAATTAGCTTGGCATGGTGGCACATGCCTATAATCCCAGCTACTCAAGAGCTGATGCAGGAGAATCACTTGAACATGGGAGGCGGAGGTTGCGGTGAGCCAAGATTGTGCCACAGCACTCCAGCCTGGTGACAGAGAGAGACTCCATCTCAAAACAAACAAACAAAACAAAACAAAACTTAGCTGAAATAAAGTTTGGATAGTAACTTACAGGTGCTAGATATGAAAGAAGTGCTGACTTATTTTTTTTTAATAAAGAAGGAATAGCAATATCTTTCCATGAGATTATGCAAAACCATATTAAGTACCTGTTTTATTGCAGATATCACAAAGTTTTAAATATCATAAACAAGCTATTTCTTCTGCAGGGTGTAAATAAATGGAATCAGAGTTTGTGAGTATGTGTGCAGGTGCAAGTTTCCCTTTTAAACCAAAGAGAAAGTAATCAGTGTTAATTAGTAAATAGAAAAGTTTCTTTTTATGGCCTAATCAGGAAAGAAGCAACTACCAACACTTTTAAATCCTGCTAGCCTACAAATAAAAATTTAGCTGTTTAATATTTTTCAGATGTTAAAAAGAACATATTTGCTGATTACAAAATTAAATTTAGTGTTGGGATCCATCGAATATATTTTATGAGCTCTAAGAAGCTTCTTACATAAACTCTATTTGCACAAAAATACTTCCATAAAGTATTGTGCAATGTTGCTGCTTTTGTGCCTCCATATTCCTAATTTAATGATTTACAGAAATCTAGCATAAGCTATACTGAAAGCATTACTTAGAAATGCATAGTAATTGTTTATATGGTAGGTTAAAATTATGAATTATTAGAAATGAACTAATTAAATTTTAACACGTTGGTTTGCAATAGACTGGGACATTTACATATATTGTTATTTTATCTCAAAATTTTTCTATGAGAAGAAAGTATATTCATACCAAAATCTTCAGATTTGCTCAAAACTTAAATAATGAGACTTTGGGTTCTTGTTTTTTCACTCTCTAAATCTGAATTGACATGCGTTATAGTTCTGTAATGTCGGTTTTTTTCCCCTCCTCAAAACATCACAGGCTAAGTGCTGTGGCTCAAGCCTGTAATCATGGCTACTCAGAAGGCTGAGACAGGAGGATCACTTGAGCCCAAGAGTTTGAGGCTGCAGTGACTTGGGGTTGTGCCATTGCCCTTTAGTCTTTGTGACAGAACAAGACCCCATCTCTAACAACAACAAAAACGTCCAAGCAGTAACACTTCAGCACAGTAGTAATAGACAACTTCTAACAGCTAATTGTTTTTTCATTATTAGGGGATGATACAGATTATTCTGGAGGTGACCTTTAAACAACTTATAAATTATTTTTCCTCTCCCTTTTGGTCTTTCCAGTATTGTAGAAAGTCAGTCAAAGTTTTTAATGTCATTCCTTAAAGTAAGCAAGCTAGTCAAAAACATTTCAACATGTGTTGAAGCTGAAGATAATGTCTGAAATTAAATATGTGGGTTCTTTATAAATTTTACTAATTCCCTTATATGCTTATCTCTATTATGAAAAGTTTTGTCATACCAATTAATATTAATAAAAATCTCAAACCTAGATCTAAAAGATTCTTTCCTTAATATGTCAACATTTATTAGATATAATGGAGATTTTATACAAATGATAAACTACATCTTAATTTAGAGTCATTGTGATTTTTTTTACAGGAATTTAAGGACATTTTCCTTACCTGCTTTTTATTAACACATTTTCCTGATTATTGTTACTTTAAGATAATTGTTCTAATGTCAGCTCATTTTTGTTATTATGATTATTTTAGCACAGTTGTGTGTTTAATTATAATATAATGGAAACAAGAAGGGATCCCCATAAAATTTAATTGGAATTCCAACCAATTTCTCCTTTACAAAATTAGGACTTTGCCACAAATATTTATCAATTAGGAACAGAGGCTATGGAACAATCCATCAATTTCAGAATTAACTAAACATGAGGTCCACTAGTGTCCGGATAAAGTATCATGTAAACTAGATTTCAAAGAGGAAAAACAACCAAGTCTAAAAATGTTACAAAACTATTATTTGATGAGAAAGTAATCATTTGTTTCAATAGCATTACGTTTTACTTCCAGTTGTCTAAATAAGCTGTATTATGGCTGTATAGTGTATCTGTTTGATGGAAATTTACTTCTTACCTGAAAGTCAGATGAACACATAAAAAATATAGATAAGTAGGTCATCAATGTCTCAGGATATTAAAAAAAATCGAGTCACAAAAGGTGGTAGAAAAAAGAAAAATTTAAAAATCATTAATTAATTCATCAATAGCTCTATAAGAAAATGTATGAGAAGAAAAAGATTCAAGTGCAGGAATTCAACCTTTGTTAATGTAAACAGGTCCAAATGAATACATTAGATATATGCAAATGTCTATTGAAATGTATGTATAATTATCTACTTTATCCACTTAATTTTTTTATTATGGTTACATAAAACTTGTGGGGGGAATCTCTCCCTGTTATAATCTTTGGGATCTTAAGTCTCTCTGAAAGCACAGCATTTATGATGTATAGAGTTCAAAAATCTCACCCTTTTATCTTAATACAAGAGCTTGGTAAGTTAATTGTAGTGCTGAACGTTCTTCTGCACCATGTATGTATTCAAGTGATCTTTCTTCAACTCGATCTATGTAGAGTTTGAGAGGCTACCTGCTTCAAATTTCCATATAGAAACATAAAAATAATGGGCAGGGAGGTAGCAATGTCAGAAAATCAGCAATCTGAATTGAGGTAGTTTCCCCATTTTTCTGTGAAACCAGCTTCTTACTGACAGAGTTGCTTTCCTGTAGATTACTGTTTGACAAAACAAGCGTAAGTGCTCATAATCCACAGACTATATTTGTGTTTCTGAAGTTACCTTAAACACATCTAAAAAGGATTCTTTTATTGCCAAATGTATTCTATGTATCTGGTGGGTTAAATGCCTTGTAGGTGCTAATATTGCCATAGTGTCTTGTGAGAAAACCTAATTACCATGAAAGCTTGTGATTCTCCTCCAACGTAGAGTCTGTAGACTTAAAAAATATTCATGTCAATTGACTAAAAATGAATGATACATAAAATATTCTGAGGTGATGGGAAGGTTATGATGCACTCTGGCCAAGCAGATTTTTTTTTTGGTCATGTATTTATAAACTATATACAGATTATTGGCCATTCTCTAAACTGCTTCTTCTCATCTTGATTTAAGATAGTCATTTATAGATGGGTAGTGTTTAAATTTTTGAAAAAGGAAGTAGCAAGATAAAATACACTACAGGAGAAATTATAATTTGGCAGATTTCTTTTAACTTTGCCTTAACAGGGGAAAACTGCTATAAAGAATCTACTGTAATTGGAGATCTAGAAAGTTTATTTGAAAGAACTTGCTTTATCTTCTTCTGTTTCCCTGATACATATAATAAGAAAAAGAAAACACAAATAAAGTCTTACTGTATCTTTGTAAATGAGTATTCACTTTGCAGCTTTTAGCAAACTGAGTGAATCTGAATTTCTAACATCAAAATGGAATGTACATAGTAGGAAAAAATATGACTCGCCCAGCCCTCAAATTTGATATTTACATCTCTGATTGAATATGGATTTTAAAGTAAGCATAGTGACTGCAGCTGGTTTATAGATAAGCAAATATTAACATATATATTAACCTTCTCAAAATTAAGTTATGCATCTGAGTTCAGCCAAAATAAACATGCCCATCCCATTTTTTTCTGGTTTACTTTGTCTGCAAACCTGTATGATTTTGTGCTTAGGTTATTCATCTAGGCAGATTGATTTCTTCTGCATGGCTCATTTGGGCCACAGAGGCTTAGAAAAGATTATGTATTGAAAACCAAAGGAAACAAAGGCGAGAAAAATAAAAAGACTAATTAATCATATAGTACATACATCAATACAATATCTTCTAAATCTCAATCAGTTGTTTATTGGTTGGCAAACAAGTTTCACTTTTACAACAAATATTAGTAATGAGGTCATCCAACTTTGAGACCATACAAAATGGATCATAAATTAAAAAAAAAATTATGTGCTGCTAATTTACCTCTTGTATTCCTACATTACTCAAAATCCTGTCAAATAAATAAATTTTCCTGTTAATAAACAGAACTTTTTTTTTAATCACTGCAAAATAATTTGACCTTTCAATTCTTACTACGAGGGAGTGTATTTCCTCTAAAAATTGGTAGTGCAGGTGCCCACTAGTGGATCAGACTGAGTATTCAGCATTTAATGCCTATGGAAACCGTTTTCACATGCAGAGGCCCACTAGTTCTATAGATACCTCTTGACTTCTAGAATCATAGCTAGTGTTCTGGTGATGAACCCTTGCCAAATATGCTTTGTATTACAACAAATGTGCCCTGTAAACATAAGAGTTTGTCCTGCTCTAATTTGCAAAAAACACTGTTGGAAATATTCTGACTGCATAAAGATATATAGTGAGGGAAGGAAGTCTTATTTATTTTATTTTTTTTGTAAAAAATAATTTGTTTGCATTACTAGAAAATGATTCTTATAAAGTGATAGTTTCATTTATTCATTTTTTTTTTTTTTGCCTGGTGAAATTTTAAAGAAAAAAAAAGCAAAATAGAAAAAAAGAAAAAGAAAATGAAAAAAGAAAGAGAAGAAAGGAAGGAAACTTTGCTCTCTTACTGGTAGACAAACTTGCAAGACCAGCACAAAAGAAAAAGAAAATTTCATTTTTTTTTTTTCCTACTACATTAACAGGACTCAAATTCTGGAGGAACAGAAAGCAGACTATATGTGCAATGCTAGTATCTGTACATTACATAGAAATTGTTCAACTTTTTTTCTGCCATTAGTTTTATCATCAGTTAATACAGCAAATCATAAAATATGCATTTAGCATATAATTCTAGAATTCCCCTCCATTTCATTATTAATTTTGTTGTTTTATTGTTTTCCACAACTATTCCAGCTGTGGTGAATTCAGGTTATGAGTGACCAAAACCACTAGGTGATACAGTTTTGCTTTGCTTTTATATTTGTTTGTGCATCACTCCAATCTAGATGCAGCATTGTTACTAATTTCAGACAACTGTTCTGGCCTTTTAAAAAGCAGGTCCTTGTAATTTTAGTAACAGAGCATCAGAGATGTTAAACCATACACAACATAATTCAACAAGGCCACAATGAGTGCCATTTTCTTCATATCTTGTTCATTAACATAATGAAGTCTCCATCTGAAGGGGAAAGGACAAGAAAGGATGGGTGGGGTACAACAGGGGAATTTTAGCAGTTATCTTTCTCCCCTGGGCTGACCTAAAAATCCCATTTAAAAAAAAAAAAAGTCTGAGAGTTTCTGTTTGTCTTTTGAGGACAGCATAAAGATTTAGGAGTACACACATTATTACCACTGCTTATATCAACTCAGAATAGTCAACAAGATGTTAGCAGTTTTGTTGGTTTCAATTTCCGTGTCATCTTCTATAGACTAGTGACCAAATGAGCAGGTCCTTTTGAACTTCCCTCGGGTGGGGTCCCATCTTTGTTGGGAGGAACTATAAATCCATCACTGCTGCCACGACCTAGCTGGTAGTAAGTGTGCAGCTGATGGACGTGGTTTCTGGAGCCTAGGTTTGGCATGCTTTTGTAGTAAACATCTTCGGCATCACCACATTTGGCCGATGGGGGTTCGGTCTGGGTGCTGGTGGTAACACTCTCTGTGGCGGCCGCACCAGCCAGTGTCGGCATGCTGGTATAGAGAGAGTCTCTATGGGGTGACTGGAGCTCTTCTGTGTGCTCGTTGGTTAGCAAAGGGAAAAAGCTCTCACTGTGGTCTTGGGGGATCCGCCTTCTGGTAAAATGGTGTAGCTGGTGGTTCTCAGTGGAGTATACTCTTGGGGGCAGCAAAGGAGCATCAGATTCCTCATGAATGAGTTCCAGGCCCAAACTCTCCTCATGGTTAAACGAGGTGGCATCATCCAGGACAATGGCATCATCTTCCCTTCCACTGCCAAGGTTATTCACCAGCTTGTTCATCAGATTCCTGTTCTGTTCGCTGGAGCGCTCGTGGTTGTTCAGGTACGAAGGGATATAGTTGGAAGTGAGTTCCTTCAGAATCTTTTTCTCTAGGGCCGTCTCGTTATGGTTATAGCCACGGTCTATGATTTGCACACAGTTGCTCAGGTATTCGCCGCTGGCAATGCTGTAACTATTGCCATGGTTACCATTCAGTGGTAGAGTATCCATGACACTTGTATCCCTGGCATTGTTCAGAAGCCCCTCTGAAAAAGATTACAAGATACTATGACATTGATATCCAACAAGCCAAAGAACACACACACACACACAAAAGCAAAAATATTCATCAACTATAAAATATGTATAAATTGTTAGCATTTTTACTTAAGCATAAAATATTTGGAAGGAAACAAAATACTATTAAATCTATATATGTGTATAATTGGACGAGTGACTGAAATCATATAAATGGGAAAATCATATTTAAAATAGATCTTTAAAAGAATTTTTAAAAACCTATAGATTATCAGTTTGCAATTGCCACACAAACACTACCTAATATTATTTGAAGTATATTTAGTTATAACTTGGAAAAATAACAAAATTTTGGTATAGACATTCATAGCTTTCAATTTATACATATCAAAGTCAATTAAATAATTCATTACCTTTAATTTTACATATTATCTTAACATCAAAATAGGTATAATATTAACATAATTCATGTGTGGTACTTTTCATATACTGGTCAAAAGTAAAAGCAACAAACAGTGTCTAATAAATTGATATTTAATTTTTTAAGATTAAAAATAACCCCTACATATAAAACCACAAAAGGATTATGTTAAATTTGTCAGAATGATGAGGTAATGAAATAATGTTTAGTCAAATAAATGGCACATAAAAATAATTTACACCTAGGAATTTTCAAAACAAAAGTATTTGAATTTACTTTCTAAATTTTTTCTGCTATAAGCAATTTGGTTGTTATAATAAACTATCCCATAAGTGATATTTTTAGGGTCATTAGATAATACTACAAAAGAATGTGTAAGGACACAGGTATCTGATTCCTAAAAACATTGTGTCAGTATTAATGTTACCATTATATAATGAGTGATGGATTTGGGTGCATGTTAAAGTTTGGGTTTAAAAGAATATAAACATTTTATTCAAGTAAGAAACAGCTGCAGTGAAATAAATTTGATCACATATTTCTTCAAGGTTTTTGCATTCCCTTGAATGAACAGAAATCCAAGAATTTATAATAGTTTCACAAATCACTTCAAATGTAACTACAAAATGAAAAAACACATTTAACCAATACTGGTAAATAAGAAAGTGTGTTTATTTACAGAAAAATTAATTGTAGAATTCTGTTAAACTTCTTAAAACATTGCTAACTTGTGAAAATATAGCATTCATTCTATATCTGTGATGCAGTTATTTATAACAACGTGAATAGTTAATTAATGGTTTAAAGGATGTATTTCAAATAAGTCAATTTTTATTTGGACTCCTGAGGCATACTCTGTATTCCAGTAACACAGTTTTCAAAATTAGCAATGCATAAAATGTTTTAATAAGCAGCCATCATAGATATAGGGTGAAGCAATTTATTTTCATTTTATATCTTGTAGACAAATCCACAATGTTAAGAAAAAATAAAAGTAAATGCTTCTTAAAGGGCTGTATGTGATGGGTGATAGCTGCCGCAGAAGCTGTTATGATGCTTGATGGTTATGATTGAATGGCTAATGCATTGAAACACACATTTATTATTTCTGTTTGTCAATGCATTAGGTATGGGCTGTAAACAGCCATTGTAAAATCAAGTGGATATGTTGCACGTGACACATTTTTATGATGGAATGTACTAATAAAAATTAAAAGTTTATGAATTACTTAGCAAAAATAAATGCTTGATTTAAAAACAATTTAACTCACACAAACATTACATGAAACTTAACAACTATGCTGATTATGTGACAGAATAAAAGAATCAGACAACAAAAGCGTCTAATCTCTATTAACATATATTTATATAAGTCGATTCATAGGCTTTTTAGTTTTTAAATTGTGAGATGAACTGTTTTTAATAACTACATCATCTATATGTGATGCAATAAAAGTGAACTAAAAAAAATTACATTTGATATGCAATGTTTAGCTTTACTCCCATACTTGTCTCTCTGTAGGGCTCTAAACGACAGCATGAAGAAAAGGAAAGAAAAAACAACAAGTAAGCTTACAGCGACAGTAGAAGAAACATGAGTAAAAAGCAAATTGATGATATGCAGAAAAAAGAGTCAAAGGAAATAATTTCCACTGCCCCAAAATTCATGAGTCTGGGTTACATGATTTATCATAATTAAAAATACTGAAATGTTAGTCAGAAAATCAGAAATCCCCCTTAACATATGCTAATATAATGAGTCTTTAGTAAGCATTTCCACCGTTTGTAAATTTCAAACAAATACACACTTAAGATTATCACATAAACCAAGGAGAGTAAAAATTTGAGGGCAGACCATGACTATTTTCACCGATATACTTCAATGTCACATATGTGTGTGTATGTTAGAGTATACCTGCTCCAAGGAATATTTAATTTCAAAATTTTTCAGTAAAATTATTTATACAGAGAGAAACCAGAGGTGAAGACTTTCATAATTGTGTTCTTTTTTTACCACCTTATGTGTCTTCTCTTTTCCAGCACAAAAGTTATTGCCTCATTTTAAATATATGTTTTTTTAATCAGTTTTAAAGAAAAACTGATCAATATTGTCATTTTTGGAACTCATATTCAAAGGTTGTGTAAATAAGGAGAGAAAATGGTTAAATTTATTTATTACTCTGAATACAGAAAATGTGAGAGGTGAAAATGCAACCAACAATATTAAGCTTTCTTTTGGATGGTTGCACAATCATGTGCAATCAAAAATTTTAAGAGTTGATCCTTTAAAAAACAATTCTATCAAAATTATTTTTTTGGGGGAAAAAACCCTTATTTTAACCAGGTTAACAGAGTTGTTCTTGCTGGTTTTGTCTACAAAAAAAGTAAAGTATCATAAAATAAAAACCAGCAAATTCACTGAGCCAGATCATTTCAAAGCGTTCTAACTTACTATAATTTAATGACAGTTTAAAGAGACAGTTTTGGTACTTTAAAGGTTGATTTGTTTCTCAGCAAAAACATAAACAACATTTCAAAATGCAGAGGAAATCTCTTTTAAAGTTTCAAAAGAGCTTTAGAACAAGAATTTGAAAGGAAGAGCCAAGACAGTGTATCAAGAGATGTAAATGCTTGTAGGCTCATTATGGCTCATTCCTTAAATCAATGCATTTTAGAACTGGAAAGCACATGAGCGATCACTGAAGTTCAATTTCCACTTTTCAAAGAAAAGGAGCCTGTAGCCCAGCAGGGCTGAGCCTTTATCGAACACCACCCTGCTAATATGGCAGAGCTAGGATAAAAAAAAAAAAAAAAAAAAGTCTTCCAGACTTCTTCCAATTCTGTCTGCTGCAATCTCCTTCACTTCACATCTGCCTTAGGCTTTGAAAACCATCGCAGAATATCTATTTATATACATTCTAAAATGATCTTGTATTCTTACCAACTAAAATATATTCTTCACTATATCCCATTCTACAACTATGTTTCTTTAAAGTTTTAGAATTACATTAAATTACCTTAAAATGTAAATTATTTTAGCAAAATCATGACTTCCTCTCTAAATTATGTTTTGTTGACACATTTTTGTATAATGAGATTTATCTTTACAAAAACTAAATTCCTAATAATGACAAGAAGATAATGGTCCCGAAGTACTCTGCATGAAATTTTAAATATTTCCCGATAGAATCTGAATTCAGCATAATAGAAGTATATTATTCATCTTCATTCCTAATTCTCTATGCCTCAGTGACACAATAAGCATATCTTTACATATGTTAAATAAAGGGTGTTACAACCAAGAAGAGATACTTTAAATCAGAATGCTTCTATGCTTGGATAGCATTGGTGCAACTGAACCAGAGGACACACAGGATAGAACCAAGTGGTAATTCAACATAAACCACTCCAGTACATACCGAGCCACCTATATTTCATGTAAGATTTCACCTTGCCAGTAAGAATATAAGTGCATTCATCTGAAAGTATAAGATTAGTAGCAATATGACAATCACCAAGATTTATTTTTGCTCAGTGGTAAAAATGAATTATTTTAAGCACTACCATAGTTTCTTAACATCTTAAAAAATATTAAAACATTAAATAGTGTTGTTTAATATTAAAACATTAAATTCCACCTCTGACTCTGAAAAACATTAATAAAGTTATTTAGTTTTTTTAAAAAGTCAGTAAAAGTTATTGCATTTACTTGAATAAAAGACAAATTCATTCAGAAGAATCCTTTGTGTATTTATTGATAATCTCAGTAGCAATTACCATAGATCCCAAGAATAAAAGTTTGTATCAATATAGTATTAATTAAGATTCTTACATTGTGAGAATTGCAGTTTGATAGTTTTTACAGAAGTATTCCATCCTTGGAAAAGTCTCTTACTTTAAGATACAAGTAAAAATAAAGTAAGACAAGAAGGCAGATATTGAATTAGGAAAATGGTACAGTTTAATAAGTGTTACTTTTTCATTATATAAGAAGTTAGAAATTATATCTGAATTAGCAAAAAAGCTAAACAAAATGTGGTCCAAGTTTATTACTTGTTTTAAAATTGTTACGTATGACTCTTCTGGGTAGGGTGAATAAATGTAGAATACATTTAATTTCCAGATAGGGTGAATATCTTCATTTAACATCACTCAAAATTTACTAATATGTCAGCACATATTAATATGTTTATAATGATTCAATTACCTGTCACTTGTCTAAGGAAAATAAAGAACAGAACAAAACAAGCCTTTATAAGGTCTAACAAATCGTCCTGCCAAACCACATCTGATGCATTGGGTGACATATAATTCATTGAGTGCTACAATGAAATAGGGACATTGAGACATAAGAGACACTTTAGGTGGGGTAACCAAGAGGAAAGACCCAGAAACTCTCATATTGATGGTTCTGATTCATTACAGAAATGGAAGACTAAAGGAAGACAGGTTAGCTGTTTACAGGCATTTAAAGAATTGCCTCAGACAGCAGAAGAACACTTTGCTCTTCTTTACTTTGGAGGCCAGAGAAAAATTTCAGCTTAGTGGAAGGAAAAAAAAAAGAAATATATATATATATATATATATATATATATATATATATATATATATGTATATCACAAATGGAGTGTTTCAACAATAGAATATATGAGATCCTGAGGTGTGATGGGCCCCATTAGAGGAAATACTTAAGCACAGACTGACAGAATGTTAGCAATGATGTAAAGAGAATTCAATGAGCTCTATGCCTTCTGATTATAAAGACATGTATCCCTTAAGAAATTTGAAATTGAAAGTGAGCTGAATTATTTCACTGTATTGACAAACGTGTTGACTATATTCCTGAAGTCACTTTTGACTTTGGTGTTTCTGAAATAATTTAAAATCATCCTTTGTATCTGGCAAGATGCCTCCTAGGGAGGCTCAGATGGTTTTAGACACACAACGGCCCTGTTAAACAAATATATCCTTTTTTGCAATGGCACATTCACACTAAGTTGCACACACTCACACTACTAATCTTTCACCTGTGACTGAGAAAGAAAAAAAATCCAAATATTTCCAAAGAGGATATTAGAAATTTTATCAAAAAATGCCTAGAAAATTTAAATACTGCCAATCACATTCAACTTGAAAGAATCATGGAAGTCTCTTTGTAATTGTGAATTTTTATTTCAAGTATAATTTTAAGTAAGAGGATCACTGACTAAGACTTTTATAAAATTTTTATTTGAATTATTTTCTCTTGTAGTCTCTTTATATATGATATAGTTTAAGTTTTCTGTGTTCTTAACACATTTTTATACTCAGGAAAGGTAAAACAATGTCCAAATGCTTATATTGTAAGTGGTTTTAAAGAGATGTATGATGGATTTTTTTCTTTTTTGTCTGACATACAATTGATTTTTGGATCAGTTTCAAGCTGGAGGATGCACAGAGGAACCATACTCAAAAGCTTTGTTTTTAACATGTAGCCACAGCAGAAAAAGCAATTTTATGACCTGTCTGAGCCAGCTCTTATTGGCAATGGCAGAGCTAAGGCAGAACCCAAGCTGCTATTGCCAGTACCGTATTTTTATCTTCCACGCTGAGTTCAATGTAATTTTCCCCAGAGTTGATTTAAATGCTTACATCAGGACTAATGGTTTGTGCTGAGTGGACTTTATGGTATAACAAAGTAAGATTTATTTTCTTGACCTTGTAATATTAAGAATATTGAATCAAGTCTTCTTTCATCTTACTTACCTTAGGAAAATATCTTATTTCTCAAAATAAATAAATAGATATTCAATATAAAAATAAATGAACAACAAAAAAAGTACTGACAAACCACAATACATTTTATAACATCATGGAGAAACAAACACATATTGATGAATCAGGCATTTGTTTAGAGGGAATCCATTTCTTACTAAGGAAAACCTAAGGAAAATGGAAAATAAAAGCACCAAGAGGGGTGGAATGTGAAAGGAGTCTGTGTGTCTGCTTCCAAAACAAAGAAAGGCAGGAGAAAGAAAAATAGAATGTGCCCATAAAAGCTACATAAAATGGGACTCTCACTTGAAAAAATTAAGATAAACTCCAGCACACCTTGTGCGTTGTACATGCTGACAGAAGGGTTGTTACAGACCGCCGGTTCCCCCAGCAATGTATTATAGGGATTGTTAGTACCATGCGGACGAAGCAGAGCATTGCTTATAAGATGATTAGCCATGGCTCCTGGAGCAGCCCCATAGAAAGACAGAGAAAAAAAAAGGTCAATCAGGCAAATGTGTTTGAAAAAAAGAAAGGAAACATTTAGAATGACAACAATTGATATAGTCCTGATTACCGGCAGACAGCTAACTAGACTAAAAAATATGCCACTTAGAGCACACATTTCCAACAATGCAGATATCTGAGTCAATGGGAAAGACAGAAAATGATTTACAGTGTTGATTAAGCTACATTTAAGGTTTTCTCTTTCCCAAGGTGTATGCAAGAATATATTCCCATGCTTGCTAGAAATGAAAATGAAAATGAAAAAAAGCAAAATCTAATCATTCATACAAACAAACGCAAAACAAAAGCCAGAAAAAAAGTTTAAAACACAAAAGAAAAGCGAAAATTAAACATAAGATTTCCTCATTCAAAGAAACCATTGGGTTATTTCCAATGAAAGTAAGAAAAGGTAAAAGGCAACATTTATGATAAAACACTCATTTGGAGAGCAGCTGTTGACACAACAGAAGAATATGACATTTCTGAAATTCTATGAAGAATCATTTATGATGAAATAACATAAAATATAATCACTCAATAGTACACCATGGCAAGCATACTAATTTGGTGATCTTACAAATCTGATAAAAAATCATATAGATGCTATTTTTAAATATTTTAAATAAATTATTAACTTTATGATGTCAAGCAATATACATATATATAATTCCATTTTCCATTTTCCAACTGGTTGTTTGAACTTTGACATAACAATGGAACAATGTTAAATTCTTTCACCCTTTTGTGAATACTTTTTGTTCTTAGTTTTTAACACCATCAGTACGAGTTGCAACTTTCCATCCCCCAAAGCCATTTAACCAAGAAGCAAAAGATCAGAGGAGTTTTATTAAATATACTTTGGACATGTACAAAAATAACAGACAAAATTGTATATTTGTGTTAGATGAGAGAGAAAGAAAAATTCACCAAGGAAAGGAAAATACAAATTGCATGTGAATAGTCCTGTTGAGCAGACAGATATATGTTAATTTAAATATATGTATTAGAGAATGAAAACACAAACTATGGGCTGGGAAACAGATTTGTAAAACAAATTTAGAAATATTTGTAATCCAAAAAATAACTAGTATCAAGCATGCAGAAAGAACTCTCAAAACTCAACATGAAAAAAACTAATAACAACAAACCCTCCATGGTTCAAAGGCATAAACAGATATTTTGTGGAAGAAGATCTACAGGTGGCAAATAATCTTATGAAACAAATTGTTTTTGGCCTTAGAGATATACAGGTTAAAACCACAATGAGTTATTACTACATATCTAAATAAAAATGGTGAAAAACAGTAAATGATGGCAAGGATGCAGAGAAATGAACACTTATATATCATTGGTGGGAATGTAAAACAGCACAGCCACTCTGGAAAACATTTTGGCAGTTTCTTATAAAACTGCTTGTGGAATTACCATGATACACAGCAACTGGATTCTGAAACATTTATCCCAGAGAAATGGAAATTTGTGTTCACACAAAAACCTATACATGAATGCTCACTGCAACGTTATTTGTAGTAGCTCTAAACTGGAAACGACCCAAATTTCCTTCAACTGGTGAGTGGTCAAACAATCTGTAGTATTCCCATATCACAAAATACTATTCAACAACTAAAAGGAACTACTGATACACATAAACACTTGGACAAATATTTAGAGAATTATATTGAGTAAGAAAAGTCAATGCCAAATGATGACATGGTGTAATTCCATTTATACAAATAAGGTTCTAGAAATGACAAAATTATAGAAAGGGAGAACAGATAAATGGTTGCCAGAGGTTAAAGATGGAGGATGGAGATAAGTAAGTATTGTCATGAAAAGGCAACATGAAGCATCCTTGTGGTGATAAAATGATCTACTCTGTATCTTCACTATGATGGCCTAAACACACACTTACTTTGTAGGTAAAATTACACAGAACTAAACACATACATACAAATACAATTAACTACAGGTTAATCTAAAGAAATTTGAAAGAGTGGTAGATTGTATCAGTATTAATATTCTGGTGTTTCAGTATAGTTTCACAAAATATGAGAGAAACTGGATAAGTGATACAATATCTCTGGGTATTATCTCCTACACCAGCCTGTGAATCAACAATTATCTCAAAATAAAAAGTAATCTAGGCTGGGCACAGTGGCTCACACCTGGAATCCCAGCACTTTAGCAATCTATATTGAATTAATGAAAAAAAAATTCAACTCATAAAAAATGTTAAAAATGAGAAGTAAAGACTGGGTGACAGTATTTTTAATCTTTTCTAAATTTTAACTCTGTCAGAGTAAATTATCAGTCAACTATGAATGTCTTAACCTTAACATTGAAAAAACAAACACCTCTTGATTGAAAGGACATTATCACTTGTCAGATCCCTAGAACTGGAAGGCATCAGTTCATTCAGGAAATACCTCACGCGTTTGCATCCTGTATTTCCTGCAAGAATGAGCATGTAACTGTCACAGAATTTTTCCCTTTCTAAATGTTCAGTAATGGCTTTCTGAAGATACACAACATATACATCGAAATGTTCTTACATAGCAAATGGCAGATCTTCGATCTATTATGTAATGGACCTATAAGGGTATTATTTTTCGTTAATGAATTAACCATATATGGTATTTTATGACAAAAAGAGTTTATCATAGTGCCTTTCAGACAAAAAATAAAAAATAGCACATCACGAACATTTATATTGTTGATGTTAAGATTAATCATATTAAAACGAATTATCTGTGAATTATACTTCTCATCTCATATTTATTATTCTAGACCTTTTTCAAGTAATAAAGTAAAATTACTGTTCTAATACAAATAATATCTAAAATTACTCTAAATAGCATTAAATAGAAAATGAAAGACGTAAGTTAAAATAATCCAGCATAAAAATCTTATATATAATTGCCCAAATTCTTTATACCCGCTCAAAGATTAAAAAAAAAGGGGTGAGATGTTTATGGCTAAGGCTTACAGCTGCATCTCTCCCTATTTCCTTTCACTGCTACACATTATCCAATTTGAACTAACTGGAAAACAAACAATAATGTGAGCAGATAGCACTTCACTCTTCTTCCTTGCTTCATACAGTTTCAAAAGTAAAATGTTTCTTTGTTTTAAATGCAAATTTTTTTTTCTATATTGATCTAAATAAAGATAATTTGAAAAAAAGGAAAATACACTTTTAAATAAGGAACAATTGAATTGGGAAGAATCAAAGGCAAGCAAGAAGCAGATTACTCAACTTGTTGGTTTCTGTGTTTATCCCTCAATTTATTAAAAAGCCAAGAATACCAGAACAAAGAAAGATTAATCATACAAAAAAAGAGGAGTTTCATAATGAAATTCTAATGAAACTATCAAGGATTTTATAAATAATCTGCATGGTTCTATCTAGACTGGCATAAATTTCCTTTTCAGTTTTTCTAAGCATTTTCTCATTTTGAATGTATTTTAAAAGTACTTTGATCAGTGAAATTATTAATCTGAGAAGACAGTTCAAAAGTTCATTTTATTTTTCTGTCATTTCAGCAAAGTTGGAAAATCTAGCAACAATGGCAGAAATACTATATAGCAAAGTGTTATGACACAATGGTGGCTATATGGAACAATATTCAGTCTCAGTCATGTGGCTTTGGTAGGACACTTCTTCACATCTCAATGCAATACAGAATCACTTATTGATCTGTATTATGAGTGTCATGCAGTCATCATTGGAGATCTATCTCCTGTTTACACTGAAACCATATAAACACTTATAAAACATAACATAAAACTCTTAAGGAAACTGCATGTTCCTCTTTACCCTGGTTATTAAGGACCTTTTCCTGACAGAAGAATCACTATTTAAAAATCACTGGCTTCTTTACTATCTAGCACTCACTTTCATGCTTCATGCACCATTTGAAATCAATGTAATTATTGCTTCTGAAAATAACTTTAGTTCTACAAATGGAGTCATAATTCATATGAGGTCTTCAGCAATAGAAACAAAAAAGAAAAAAATGGAATTTGATGAATAATGTTTTGCAAAGTGTATAAAGACAGACAAGCTCTGTGGGTTTGTTAGTATGAAAGAGTAAGGGATATGTCTGAGTAATAAAACAATTATCCTTCATTTGATTCATCTAATGTAAGAATTCAACAGTTTTCCATGACTATTCAGGGCTTGGAGTGGCTTCAAGAGGACATTCTTCCTATCACTATCCCAAACAAGTATCATTTTCATAAAGTACTATCATATAGTTCCTGCAGCCCACATTCACAAAGTAGGCATTTCAATTATACTTCGGAATGGTAGCACTGTCTATGTCAAACCCAGCTTGCTCCCAATGCCTAGATCATTTAACTAAAAACTTGGGCAATGCTGTCTTCACTTTTTTGTGCAAAGTGACTTTTGTCTTTTCTTTGTAGCTGCACTGCATTTCTCTTATCTTTGCTGAAGTCTATTCTGTTTGCTTTTTGGCTGTCTCCCCAGTTGACTTAGGTCACTTTTACTTCTAATACTATCTTCCTGGATTCTGTCTATTCTGTCTCTTCCTCTTCCTTTCAACCAGCTTCTGATTTGTAAATTTCCCTTCTAATAGCTGTGAAATTGTTGAAATCTTCCAAGAAGTTCAGTGTTTACAGACCATCTGTCACTGTTTTTCACCTGAAAAGTTGGTCTTACTGGTTAGTTAGTTTGAAGACATAAATATGATGGTGAATTCTGGGGGCTTGGGGTGGAGAAGATAGGTACAATATTACACATGTGAAAATGTTCATGTGCTAATTTTTACTGAAATGGAGGCACCAGGAAAAATGAATACACAGGGGGTCTTACTGTTCTATGCCAAGCATCTAGACAGTTCCTATAACTCAAAAAATATTTGTTTAATTAATTTAAAAAAACTTAAAAATCTATGGCACCTTTAAAATATAAAACTAAATCAAAGTTATTTTATCCA